GCTTTGTTCAAACAGAGCATAAGTAAGAAATAGGTTCCCTTAGAGGCGACGGTACTCCAGGGGAAAGAGATCGAACATCGCGAGGCGCGTTTCGTAGTCTACGGGTTTGAGGCCGGCAACCATCCTCTTAGCGGCCCGCTGGACACGCTCAATGAGGGTGACGTCTTTCGCACATCCTGAGTAGACAACTTTGTTGGCGTACTCCAGCAGCGGTCTGACGTAGGCACCATAGAGTATTTGGAAGTCCATGCGAGTAATACTGGAGAAGGTACGTCGGATCATCCGTAAAACGGCGAATGCCTTTTGGGCCGATTTCTCATGGTGTAGTGCGAAGGACAAGTTTGAGGAGACCTAGATGCCTAAATCTTTTTTGGCATCTATCCTCATGATGTTTTCTGGTCCCTTTTCACCATGCATAACAAAGGCATTCGCTGAATCCCCTCGTGCCCGGCGTGCGAGCATTCCGCGAGGATCTCTGGTACTCTTGATCCATTCCAGAGGTCTGCGATCGGTTTCGACATGGAACCTTTGCCCAAGCAGATATGGTCTCCACCTATCCAGGGCCCAGACGATCGCTAAACATTCCTTCCTAATGGTGGAGTACTGCTGTTCAGCGTTAGTCAGGACGCGATGGCGTATTTGATAACTCCATTCCACTGCTTTAGGACTGCGCCGATGCCGCAATCACCGGCGTCCGTTGCAAAAATGAACATCTCTCCGACCCTGGGCAGTGTGAGGGTCAGTTGCTGATCCAAAATCCGCGCTTCGACACGCTCAAAAGCTTGATGTACTTCTCCGGTCCATTCGAATTTCCGATTTTGACCAAGCAAATCGCACATTGGCAGAGCATCTTGTTGAAATTTTCAACAAACGGGCTGTCTTACGCTGTTCGTCCAAGAAACTGCCGTAGAGAACGCTCTGAATTGTGAACAGCACAATCCTTGATCTTCGCCAGTTTTTCGGGCAGTGGGCTAAATTCTCCCTGACCCACTTTATGCCCCAGCAGTGTCACCGAACTCCGAGCGACCTGTGTCTTGGCTTCATTTATCCGCAGGCCAGCCTCACGGATCCGCTCCAACACGGCCTTCAAGTAAACTACGTGCTCTGGTTTCGAATTGCTGTACACAACGATATCGTCTCCGCAACGGCAATATGCTGGAGTCCTTTCGTTACGAAGCAGCAACCGCCGGAATGTGAATGGTGCCCCGGACAAACCAAACGGCATTCGTCTAAATTGATATTGGGTGTCCCCAACCGTAAACGCCGTTTTC